CTCGCCTTAATTGTTTGCTCGTCGACCGTGAATTTACGAGCGTTCCTCTCCGAGTTTTCTCCCCTTTAGCTGGATGGGATTTTCTTCGGTATCATTTAACCCTATTCCTAGCGGAGTCTACGATGTGACCAGGAAAATAATTTTCTTAATTTAAATTCTTCCTACGATAGTCGTTTCACAACTGGTCGAGTCTTAGAATTAATCAAAGAAAAGGAGAATATCTGTTTAAACAGAGTTCACGAACTCGAACACTTGTTTGCAAAAGCCTAATGCAGGCTTGTTTCCTCTTTCATTCATCATGCTCGCGCAGTAACCGGAAAAGCAGCGGAGAGCAAATAAAACGCGCCTCCATGTTTCGTCTCTGCTGGTACTACATGCATGCCCTGTGGTTGTGCAAAGAGAAGACACAAAAAGAAAAAAGAAAAAAGAAAAAAGAAGAGGCACGACGGACTACCGAAACGCCGCGCACCGGGCCGCATCGAGCCTGTATCCGAGTTCTAAAGCACGAAATTATTCCTCTGTGGCTTTTACACGAGAACGAACCTCTGCTCGGATAACTCGAACTAGAGTTTATGGTAACAGGGTATTTTCGTTCGATCATTTGCCACGACTCGTCTCGCTGCTTCAACTTTCCTCTATGAGCGTCGATGATAGACATTTTTACGTGTTTCCTCGTTACAGCATCCAACAATTTTTATGTGGAAGCAGCAAAGTTCGATTCAATTACTTTCTGTACATTCAGGCAGCACCTGAAAGAGTTTACAAGCCTTTCACCGTTTATCTTCGATAACGATCGCAAAACTGCAGTGAAACGGTGCATCGACGAGAAGAAACGAGGCACGCGTGTAGCTGGTTGTGAGTGGAACGAAAAACGTTGGAAGAGGCTAGGCGCGTGAAAAGTGATCGCAACGGGCAGCGTAAAAAAGTCGGACGGGAAGAGAAATTAGTTGTCAGCCGCAGTGTGGGACGAGAGGTGAATCCGAGGGGTGAGGGAAAAAACGGTTCCGAAGCCCCGGGGTACCCCCGCGTGATTTATGCACGCATAAAAAAGAAAACAGCTCGAGCTTCGCCACACGAATCGGTTGGAAATGGAAATGGAAATGGAAATGGAAATGGGCCTCGAGATCTCCGCTTCAACTCCCTTTTCAAATCCGTTTTCAGGCGGAAAAATCGCTTGGCAACTGCTCACCCCCCGTTCAATCTCTTCCCTCCTATATGCTCTGCCTTTTCATATGCCTGATAGCGTTCTCATTGTTTCCTCGTTGCATCACACTTCTCTACTTATTCGTTAATCTCTCACTTTTCATTACTTTTAAGGATGATCACTCGATAGAAACTCGATTGAGTCGTAGTATCTGTGAATCGAAAGGGGTGTACCTACTGTATCGTTAGTGAAATGCAAGGTTACGTGTGATCGAACTACACTGAGAAGAATTGAACTAAATACATACAAACATACATAAATACGCGTCGTCGAGGTACGTACAGTGACCCGTCGCGTTTCAAGTTTTAATCGACGAACAAAGCCAAGAATTTCGATAGCGAACGTCTTGATCGAACAAAAGCGGCTCGTTTATTAAAACGAGGTCGACGTGACAGCGCATGCGCGCAAAACGGTTACGCTGCTAACGATAATCAAACAATGACGCCATTATATGTACTTGTAATCAATTGATATACATATATGTATAGCTGTGATCCGGGAACGGAACTACGATCGCAGAGGAAATCGGCTGATGGCGAGTTGGAGCGCGTTCGTAGCTGGTGATGGTTAGAAAGGCCGCGCGGAAGCGGATGCGATTGTCATTGCGGCAATCATCGTATTGTCCCGCGGAATCGATTGATCGATTAATTAATTACACGACGATGGATACGCAGGTTTGCCGAGTCAATATTGAATTCACGTTCAGTTAATGCGTTCCTGCCGGACAGTAATCGTCTCGAAATCCGGTATCACTCGACGCGAGGCGACCAATTCGCTTTACGTTTCGTTTGCATCGAAAAAACCTACATCACCCTCCTATTTTACAAACTGACCTGATACATCCTTGTATGTACATACTTGTACATACATACTAGTAGATATAATCCTTCTGTGGTAACCAATTTTACCTCGAGTAAGGAAATTTCTGCAGCAAATCTGCTCAATTTCATTCTTTTATAGACTCTATTATCTTGCTATTGTCTTCGCTATAGACACGTTACTCGTCGTCCTTTACAAAGCTTCTAACAACTGTAAGTGTTGACGCGTTAAGTAGAGAAAATCGATATCCCAACCTCTCTTCTCACTCAAGCTACACGATGTAATGTAATATATTTTTAATAGTTATTACAGGGGCTGGTTCGTTTTTCCGTATTTCCCGGAACAAACGTACCATTAAATGGTAACGAGCGTCGGAGCGTAGGTACGTTTGCACGTGACACGGAGATTAGTCTCGCGGAAAGTACGAGGGGCATTTAGGGGTACGACTGGCTCATAACGACAACGAGATAATGCATCGCAGGCACAGCTATAATTTTTTAATGCTACACCGACGATACGAGGGACCATTCGTCTTGTGGCATGTTAGATACGCGACGGTCATGCTCGCGTGCGAGAACCGGGATTGCTGGCGGGGATCGTCCTTCTCTTTTTCTTTTCTTCCAACCCTCTTTTAAGAGTTATGGCTGCTGTTGCGCATCCCTGCGAACGAATCCACCAGTTTCATGCAAACAAGCACCAGAGGTTCGAGAGACAGAGACGCGGTTTTCCTGATTTTCTGCCAACCAAGAAAAAGGGAAAAGTGCATCTACCCTCCGTTGCGTTGTCTGGCGATCGACGAGCTCGTTCTTTTACGGGAGCCATGAAACTTGAAAGATAAATTTTTATATTTCTACGAAATATATTCGTAGAAAAGGAGATGAAGAAACTAACGAATTCAATAAAAATCAAGCTCGTCGATCGTGATCCTCCTCATTTACCAAGACGTTTCTTAAAGGCAGATTTTGATAGACAGTCAATTGATAGACAGCGCTGACAATGAGAGAAAAAGAAATTCGTTGATCGTTCAAAAGGACGCGAATAGAATGAATGTATAATAGAACGAGCAACAGTCCTTTCTCTCGTTCTTCCTCGTGAAACACGGTGTAACAAACTCTTTGAAAGAAAAGAGCGACTGTCCGTCGATAATAATCGCAAAGACTCGATTAATTAGAAAAAAAAGAAGAAGAAAAAGAAAATTAACCGAGTCTGGTCTGATCGATCGTCGTGCTTCAAACTATGTAACTCGTTGTTTGCAGAGAATTTCTGAGAATCAAAGTTATTTTTCTATTAAAAGTAAAGGGTAAAAAATCGATGTCTAGTCGCATCGAGAATAAGCGTTGCTCGTCCTTCAAAGGATCCACGATTTTTGCTGCAACGCGAATGATAAGATTAAGATAATGATAGCGCGTGAAATGTGAATGAAAGAAACGATTGAAAGTAGGAAGGTATGAATCGTTGCTGCCTGAGAGAACGTATGATCGAATGACATTGTTGTTGATTCGACGTGGAAAACGTGCTCTGCCCTCTCCAGTCCGGATCAGATACAAGTATACCAAAATAAGATCGTGGGTAGAAATAATAATCAACGAGTAGTAATTAATAACAATAAATGTAAGCTACGCGAGCTGGGAACGAGAGGCGTGTCCCGTTCGCCGTCGATACCACCCAAAACGAGAACGAAACGAAACGAAACGAAACGAAACGAAACGAAACAAAAATATGTATGTATGTACGTAAGCACGTAGAAGCGAAGAAAAAATCATGAAACAAAAAGAAATAGAAAAATAAGCCAATTCAAGGTATCATTGCCGACAATCACTGCAATGCTTGAACAACGTAATATGTGTGCTCACGGGGCCCCGCTCCAACCTCCTCCAACTATTTTTTCATCTTCTCGCGACCGGTTATCAGTTGTCAGTTTTCAGTTTTCAGTTTTCAGTTTTCATCAGTGTAGTATACCGTCTCCGCGCCGTATTGATCGCTTTTTTCACCGATTTTACCGCATAAACGAACCCACATAAACCTCTATCCTTTTCCCATCGCAGGGAAAAAGTATCGAGTATCGCCTAATACGACCCGTTTCGATTCTATGGTGGCCACCATAAATCCTCAGTGTGGATTCGAAAGCGTACAATGAGAAATGCGGGTCGCGCACACCTGCACGCCTTCGTCGCTTATCGCTTTCGAGTTTCAGTAGAGAAAAGTATAGGAATTGTATGCAAGGGTTATCTCTTTATCAGGATATTGCATATTTTTCAGCTCGAAATCAATCGAAATCGGCAGCGTTGATCAGCAGGATTATTAGAAGAAGGTAGAAAGATTTTTCAAGCTTGTTCTAGAGTAGCTTTTAGATAGGTTGATTCAAAGTGAACGATTCGGGAAATTGAGACTGGTGAAGCTCGTAAAGCGATACATCGACACTGAGGATGGCCGGTGACCGCATCTGTCGCTGGCACGACAGGAAACGATAAAAAGAGCAATGGATCAGCGGGGGTGCCGAGGGAAGATTCGATCGCGTAGCTCACACGAGAACACCATTCATCTGTACGAGAGAACTCTTTCCGTCGTCACCACCCCCGCCGTCGCCCGCTTTCACGCCCCAGTTACCCAGATTACGCAACGTTCGAACGAGGAAAATTAAAAAGAAACCGTGGAACGATTTCCTTTTATTCCCAAACAAACACGAAACACGAAACACGAAACACGAAACACGAAACATCTATGTTATCGCTGCATGATAGTTACTTTGCCGTCTTTATGAAATACGTCTTTCATCGTTTCAATCTCCTGTGAATGGATTTTTTTCAGCAACGAATCAAATCGAATTAGCGAAAGCGATCAAAGATTTGGTGGAAAACGCCGAACGCTGAATAAGCGATTTACATGAAAACGGCTCACGACTCGTGGTTATCGAGAACGGGGCCCACGTATTTAACTCACGGATATAGAGAGCAGAGGGTGTCGTCCGTTATCGTACCTCGTTGCCTACCTTCTTCTCCCATTGAAGAACGTACGGCACTGGGTGCTCACCGGGGAACTCTACGTGACAGTTGAAGACAACGCTCTCCCCCAGGATTGCCGTAATGTGCACCGCGTCCTGGTGGCACAGACCTGAAACACACACCATTTCAAGCTGTTAAAATCGATCGTTAATTAACTTGAAATTTATTTCAAGTTACAAAGTTACTGATAATGAAATGTAATTTTAAAAATTCTCTTATAACTTCTATCGCGAATATACTTATACTTACAGCTCGCTTCGAAGAAACAGACCCGAGCTCGTAATCCGCGAGAAAAACTTGCCAACGCTACGCGACGCTACGCGACGCGACGGATATTTTGTAAAAGTCTCTGGCTGGCTTTTGAGGTGTCCTTAACTTTTCTGCCGAGTTACAGCCGTAGGCAAACTTTCTGATTTACCGAGGTAACTTTCGCTTCTGTATTTTTACCACCCTTCCCGTAAAGTCATTCGGGTATTATGTGAGCCAAAACCGAAAAAAATCAGATAAATAAGATAATACGAAAAATTCGAGGATCGTCTCTCTTAAATCTCTAACGTACGAATTGTCTATCCGTACCATTTCAGATAAAGATGCAACTTTTGTCATTTGTAATTCTGTAATGTAATTTGATCGCTGCTCACCGCTACTAACGTTGCACAGAATTTTAAACACTTACATAAAAACCAAACGGGTTGAATCAGTTGAATCGATATTGTAAAGGTTTTTCCAATTACTATATTTGTCACAGCCAGCATCGTGAAAATAATATATTTTAGAATCTGATGGACGCAAGTTTGCAGTCAAAGAATGGAAAAGTTTATGGAAAACCCACCGAAGCCCCAGAAAAATCGCTGTTGTAATGGGTTCCATTCGAATAATGGATCTGACTTTGATACCTATTCCCTTTGAATCCCGTCGACTACGAATACAACACACTTTCCACATCTCTTTCTACCCGCAACAAAGGTTTCTGAAATAAATCTTTCGTCGAGGTGTCGCTCGATTCGCATGACGGAATCTTTCACCGTTTGTAAGAAAAAACAAATAAAAACATCGATGATAATGGGAAACATTGATGAAATTTAATAACGTTAGGATCGTTAACGTTAACGAGAGGCGTGTTCCAGCCCGTTTCTCGCAGCCTCTTGGAACAACCCCCTTACACCGTAGCTAGCGTAATTCTATGAGAGAAACGCCCAACGCGCATTCGTGTACCACTCCCTGCAACTGCTGTTTTTATTTTCTCAGCCATCGTTAAATTTTCAATTGAAAAACAGATTCGTCACCCGCTAAACGAATAATTGTAATTATTTAAAAGGTCTTGAAAAGATCAGTAATGGATCGTTTTTATTGAACGAATATTCATTTGATAGTGAAGACAATGCAGCTTTTTGCACAACATCACCAATCTTCTCACAGCGCATTTCCAAGGAAAAAACTTGAAAATATCCAAGAAACGACGTACGCGGCGAAGAGAGTAGCGCCGAAGGCGTTCGATGCGGGCGACCGTCCAAAAATATGAAAGACTTTCCAAAAGGGCGTTCGCCACTGCCTGAAAATTATCTCCGTCCAAGGAACAATAGGCGACCAGTCATCAGCTTCCTTAACAACAATAGAAGAAGTAACTTTCCTGTCGCGTCGCGCGTCGGTTCGATAATTTCAAAATATGTAATCACAATCGTACGCATATTTCAATAGTTTTGTAAAAAATAAAAAACCACTCGTTTGTTTTTCCGTGAATCGGTCTATCCGTTAGAGAGTAAAAGTTGAGAAGAAAATCAGGATGAAAAACGAGAGATAAGCGGAGCAAACAAGGGACAAGAAAAAAAGAGAGCAGAGTCGACGTCGCCGTCTTGGTCGTCGCGTCGAGTGAGCGAGCGACTTTGATCGCCACTCGAGCTTTCGTTCCATTGTAGCCGCCTATTGTTCGGATTATTGACAGATCGGCATGGTCTGTATACGTATCACAGGTGGTAGTATTCACCAGAGATCCATACATATGTACATATGACGAAACGTCTCTTCTTCGCTAAACTACCTCGATTCTCTGTCTATCGCGTCCATTCGTTGCACAAAGGATGCGCACGCTCGACCACTCTGTTACATCTGCTGATAGAGATGAATCAGTGAAAACGACCAGCGTGATCAGTGGTCAATGAAAAGGAGAAAAACTTTATTCAAGCGAAACATATGAAAAGTTACGATGTTTCCTTCTTGTCTTTCGTTCCTCGCGACACGCGAGGATAGGATTCCTGGTACATATTATTGCTCGACCACGTGCACAGGAAAGGAGATTCTGGTGGCAAACACGCAAGAAGATCTGCTCGTATTCTCCATGAAATTTTCAGTCAGCGGCCAACCGTGAAATTAAGCAGCCACTCGATCGGCTTCAGCTAAGTAAGCGTATGTACACACGAGATGACGGCCTACAAGCAATTAACCAGGGGCTAATGAGCATTCTACAACCACGGCTAACTTTCACCCACGGCTACCGGAGTAAAGAGTTTAATTATTTAGGGTAATTATGGTGATTCCTCGAGTAAATATGTATAGACTGTTTCGCAATAGAACGGAGGGAACCGTAATAAGTACCAAATCGAAAAGACAAGATTTTTCACTGGTCTCGATCGATCGAGCATCGCGTCGCGTCAAACGGGCTTTAATGGAAGGGCAACGTACCCTCCAGGTAGGGACAACGTCATTTGCAACTCGTTTCATCGCTTGCCATCTGGGCCGCTTCGAAGCCAGCTACGCGAGGAAGAAACCATAATCGTTCACCGGCAACACGCGCGGATGCCTCGTGTATACGTAATTTATGGCGACCGTTCCACCACGACGAGCCCTCTGCAATCTGCAGAGGAATTTAATCGCGACCGAATGCATTTCAGGATGATACCTTAAGCCAGATACATACCTATATGTTATGTTAGTTAAACTCATACGCTATCGTGTAAAGTGTAGAGGTTCCTGTCATAATAAAGAAAAATACACGTATCGCCAAAGGTTAGTCGGTAAAGTGATTGGAAGATAAATAAATGAGGAGTACCTATTAAACAGGAAAAGTTGGAGATGATTATCTTTCGGTGCTGTGTCGTGCAACTGGCGATCACAATGGCCGTCTTTCGCTCCCTCTTTCGCTCCGTCTTTCCTCCACTTATCCAACTTTCTATATTAAACAACTTTTCCGCTAATTTTAGCTCGCTTTGCCCCGTCTTTCATCAACGCTGTCCTTTCTTCTCAATTTCACGATAATTTTCCTTCCTTTTACGAGAGCTCATAAACGGAAAAATTACGCGTAACTCGCTTACAAGAGAAATTCAACACTTGAAAACAATTCATTTATTTCCGAGTTAAAACGAGAATTTTATTTTAATCAAGTTTATGGAAATTTTTCAAATTACTTTCTATTATTGATCTTTCCATTTATAAGACACCATGTATGTATACCTATGTCAATACCATATCAATGTTATATCAAATGGAACAAATTCGAAAATAAGGTCGTGGAAATGATACATGTTTGTGCGAATTTCATTTCATTTCATTTCATTTCATTAAAAAGCATTAATTCGATTTACATTTGTTCCTAAGAGTCACCGTATGATACCCCGCTTTCGTCAAATGTGGAACTAATTGAGTTTATATTTATTAAATTCTGGTAGAAATGTATAGAAATATATAGAAATATATAGAATTGAAAATATAAATAGTATCTACCAGTTCGTACCAATTTGTTAAGAAAATTATGCAACGATGGAAATTAATATTTTCAATGTTTTCGCGACAAGTATAAGTATAAGGTAAATGTAACGATGAAATAAGGAGATAAAAAAAAATGAAGCATTCTCGGAAAAACGTAAAAGGTAGAGAAGGGAAAAAGGTAAATGCTTGATTCGCATAGATTTTTTCCACTCTCATGCAAGGATCATTAGCAAGAACCGACAGGCACGCGCTCAACAACCACCTTGAGAGCATAAAAGCGGAGTTTTAATGAAATTGTTCTGGTTGATGAGACTAACGACGAGCTTCGTAAGGGTCGTATATTAAAATAAAAAGAGGGAACATCCTTTGAAACGAGCACGTATTGACGTCATTTTATTCATCCGTTCCTGTAAATTGGTTTGACTGCGTTGCAGCTTTTCCTGCTTCGACGCAATAGCAGTCGTAAATAAAAACTGGCAAGGTAAACGTTGCATTCGATTGGTCGGATGTTTTTCGAACGTTAAAAAAGTCCGAGAGAAAAGAAAAAAAAAATAATTTCTACCATTTCCTACCACTCGAATCTGAATGAAAAAAAATGATATTGTTTCACTTTTAGTGACATTTAGGAACGTTTGTTTCAACAATACAAAAATAGAATATCTTTGAAATTTCGATTGGATAATTGTCCTGAAGGAGGAGATGAAAGGGCCGTTTCTACAAGGAGGAGCTGTGTGAAGCAATTGCTTTAGGGTCTGTCTAACAGGATCCACAGGACTGTTGACGAAACACACGAGTGAAGTGCACGCGCGTAATTGTACAGTATGGCGCAGAGACACGTATTACCAATTACAAGAGGTATCTTGACGGAAACTCTCCGTTCGATCTCAATCGACGTCATTACGCCTGTGCTGATCTACGCGCATCCCCTCACGACACACGCCACGCCACGCCACGCTGAATCCAAGATCGATCGATCGGTCGAGATCGTGCTCGAGAGACGATGGAAAGCTATTACCGTGACTCGGTAGACTTGTTCTGATTAGCGAGCTTCGCTAATTAATGTAACAACCCGGGAGACCGGTAAACGGTAATGAAACAAACGCGTACTCGAGTACCGAGCGTAAAGAGACTAGACTCTCTGTTACCGAATACCCGAATACCCGAATACCCGAATACCCGAATACCCAAATTAAATTCTCAAATACTCGAATAGCTGTGTTCAAGTTTTAAATGAGCGATGTAAAAATTTAATTATTCTAATGTACCTGGCGTGACGAAAAGCACGATACCGAGGAGCAGGGTCCTCGTCGCCACATCCGCGAGCCACCGAAAGTCCCTGCGAAACCATCGAAGCCGATGCCTATTCCTATTGCCTTCTTCGTCCTCCTCACCATCTGCGCCGAACAATCTTCCAACGGAGAACCGCAGTTTTCCGTACAAAGAATCGATTACACCATTTTCATTCTTCAACGTACATCTCGCACCTTTCTTCTTTTCTTCATTCTCCTCGTTCTCGTGTCGTCTGTACGACCGAGAACTAGTACAGGTCGGTTGACCGGAAGCAAGGGTCGTTTCCAAGTCAATCCCACTAGAAACAACAAATTCATTCTGATGTTTAAACGATTTCTTTGTCGAGTACCTACCTTTATAAGAGAATTGACGAATTTCAAGGAAGATGTAAGATTACCTACCTGTCTCCCTCCTGGCCAGACAAGCTTCTTTCAGCTGCACGGCAGCCATCGTGTCTTATGGAAGGAAGACCCTGGGGAAAAGTGCTTCCTGAACACCGGGACTCGAGCCTTCGCCGGAGGTCCGTGGCTTGTAGCCCTCCTCCGCCCCCCATACCCCCGCTCCCATAGTACCTGTACATCATAAACGACCATGTAAGCTAGTTTAGATACATTCAACAATCGAATGAAAGGTCCAGTGTAAATACCTAATACAAAAGGACAGGGGGCAACCTTTGTAGAAGAAAAGAAATCATTCTACTTTTATACTTGTATGTAGGTACAGTAGATACGTGTGCCTTTTTATACTCGGGATAACACGATCAACAGAATTTTATAGCTTCGTTTCAATCCAGTATTTTATGATTCTGTTCCCCTGAGAAGAAGCTTTAATCACAAGACACGTTCACCTATACCAGCAATATACCAGCAAAATAGAAAACATTATTCGCATTTCAATTAAACCAAACGATAAATTAAATACCATCCCCTCTAATCGTCTGTTCAATATATGTATAATTATACGTTTTCCGCGGTCCGTAATCAGTGCAGCTGATAAATACCACGGGGTGAGAGAGAGAGATTCTCCCTCTTTCTCACTCTCTTTGGTTATCGGATCGCGGTATTTTCAATTTGCACCGAGCGAGCTACTTACGTTAATCCCAGATCGCGTAATACGAACCACGATAACCGTATGTCTCGAACAGCTTTTTCCTCCCTCGTTTATCCAGCGATATCGTCACGAAAGCGGCATAACACCGCGAGATAATGCCTTAATAGATCCACCGACGCGACCGTCTAATTCTCTATCCGTGATTCTTATCGTCAGTCGATTACTCCACCGACACGAATAAGTCTGATAAGAGTTTGATTACTCTACTTAAACGCCTACCGTATATCCGGAACGAGCTTCCTCCGTTTCGTTCTCCACGTTTCGACGAGAACACGAAAATTACCCTGCCTCCGAATACTTTGTCGAATACCGGCACGATCGATAGATCAATACGAAATTTACGTATTCCCTGCTTTCCACTTCCTTCAATCAATTCCGATTTATCTATTCTTTTGTAATTGTTTAATTACGTTAAATTGTTCGCGCTAATCACTGATGTGACCACAGGTACAATCAACAACGTAAACATATGTACAAGTAAATAAGTAAACATTACCCCTGCCGTTCCGCCACCACTACCGCTGCCCGGATCGACCGCTCCCGACACTGATTTTCACCAGTTTCGCCACTTCTTCAACAACAGCTACTTCAGTTAGCCTCCACAACGTGTCGCTATCATCACCTGGAAAAAAGGAAAAACAAAAACAAAAAAAAACATGTGATTCGTTAGGATCGAACGTGGAAAATTGAATGGAATAAAATAAAACGCGGAACGTTCTCTTTCCCCAAGCAATTCCCTCTACTGTTCATTCTCTGTCCTTTCTCGTATAGAGACTTGCATCGTGATTATCGAGCACGGCTTTGACTTCTTCTTCCGGGAGTGGATAGTTGAAATTCCGCGCAGACGAGACGTGAATCGAATGAGATTAAATCGAAATGGGCTCGCTTGCTGGGAAGATGACACGCTGCGTTGCGTTATCCAGAATTTTCAAGAGATAGATAATAATCGAGGTGCCATCTCGTTAAAAAGAAATTAATATACGATTATAGCGGGCTTTCGAAAATTTACCTGGCATCGCCACTCTTGTTTCGTATAATTACAGGGATTAATGTAATCCCTGTCTCGTTAACATCGATTATTATAATTTAAACTCGTGAACCGTATCAAAATTCGAAGATCAAAGAGCAGGGGCTAATATCTGAATGTACGAGCTTTGCTATTATACCTCGTTACGTTCGAAACACTTATTATAATTGAACAATTGAAAGCATATTTGAATTCAAGCTGAAAATGAAGTGTAAATCTTTGAAATAATTCACTGTACTTGCAGTATTTACAGAATAGTATAATTCAGGATGTTAGAGGTAGGAGTAGGGCTAACTGGAATAGCCGTCAGCACCTTTTGACGAAGAGGGATCACGGGATGATCGGGAGGAGGAGAGAAGGGTTGCACGGTGCTAATAGAAGACTGAACGAGAGAGGTGGGAAGTGGTAGAGTAGAGGGTAGGAGAAGGGTCGTTTGGAGAAGGGGTTTGAACAATGGCACATGTCACCCCGCTCCGTGCAGTTTCACCCCACCGAACGAACCACGACACCACCTGTCATAACTCGTCTTCGTGTTCCACGGTTATTAGCGCTGAGCCGGTGGGATTGACCAATATCTCCTACCCCTGTAATCCCTTGCTCCTTTCATCCCCGACCGATCGTCACAACGTCGCGACGCGAGGCGACGCGAGGCGACGCGACGCACGGAACCGAATGAATCGAACGTTGATGGGGGAGAAACGGTGATCGTGGCCAAATGAATGAAATATCCTGGATTTATCTTGATAGCGTGCTGCGATTTTTCCATGAATTTCCCCTCAATCTTTAAAAGGGCTGAACTTGACTCGAAGCGTTTCGCAATTCAACTACGATTGTTATTTTTCTTATAAAATTAGTTGCAAAGTCAGTCCAGGTTTACAGCAGCACCTCTGACTTGATGTTGGCTAAAGCGTTGACTCTTACTACTTAAAAATACAAGATCCTCGGTTCTCGGAATCTGAATCTTAGCGTTAATATGATTGATATCGCACCACTGATACCACCAGTCGAGTTTAACAAACCATCGTTTCTATGAAAACGATAAATTATCAGGCTTCGTTAAAGTAACAATTAAAAGAGATCGTTGAAGAATTCACGAAACTGCACGAACTGAACGGCACCCACTTGTGTGAAGCGTTTTTTCGCGTGACGCAACCACTTATCCCTGATCTGCCTATTCGTCAACCCTCTCTAACAAAACGAAACGAAACGAAACGAAACGAAACGAAACGAATCGAAACGAACTAATTGGTCCGTGTCGACGATTCCCACCTGACGCTACTTGTTACCCACGATCTGTCACGTAATCGACGGAAAAAATTATTCTCGTCTTTCACGTTATTTTTCTGTTGCATCAACTGCTTATTATCGACAATCGACAACATTTCCGTGTACACTTCGGTGCGAATAATAACATCAATTTAAATCATCTACCTAATGAAAATAAAAATAAAAGTAAAAATCACTTCACGGCTAGATTTAACGAACTGGTGAAAACGTAAAATTCGATACCGTGAATGAAAACGCGTTCTACCATTATTATTATTATTATTATTATTATTATTATCAGCAGAGTCGAGGAAAGGGTAGAGCGAATTCGCTCGTTTACGCTAAAGGCAGAAAACGCGGGCAAATATCGTCCTCGGCCTCGGAACAGGTCCACTTGAAAAAGGGTGAATCGGAGTGCGTTCACGGATAATTTGATCGACGAGCTAGCAGCAACACGCGCAGCTGCTCCATTCGACTCGTCTCGACCGGACTGGACTCGATTCGATTTTCAACCGCGCCGCGGTGGTCTAAAGCTGATTTAATCAATTGTGAAAATTCAGCTGTGCTTTTTGTGTTCCTGTATCGCGCAACGAGTGGCGATTGCTATTCAACATGAAAATTGCACACGCCTCTGTGTACAACGCTCCCTCCATAATATCGATCCAATTACGCTTCATTCGTTCGACACGAACATCAAATTTCCACGGTGAAACGATCTCGAGCTTTTTCAACCTTTTAATTCGGTCATTTCTCGATGTTTGATCTGGCACAGAAAACTTTGCGTTCAAAGATTTAAATCCTTTTTTGCCCTTCCATATAGGTTTACAACAAATTTTTTCTCTTTTTTTCAAATTGGAAAATATACAAACCAAAGTTTCAATCACGCTTTCTACAAATTGGAAAATATGTAAAAAGATACATATCCTGGCTACACTGAATGCACACAGAACCTTCTACGATCATTTGAAAGCACAACACTTGAGATACATAAGGGTTCTGTTAACACCAGCAATAATTTCTTAACGATCCTCGTAAACTGTACGATAGTCGAGGCTAGGGTAGTTTGAAAATACCGTAATACCGTGTGTCACTCGGTACTAGGCAGCTTCCTGGGGGTTCATTGTAAGCGCGGATCTCGTTGCGAATGTATGTCCGCATCAACGCGACCCAAAGCCCTTTCAGCGCGTACAAGACAGCACCAGCAACGTGCTAGCTAGCTATCCGTCACGAAATCCGTTCGCGTGTCCTTGCGCCACGATGATGAGCCCGTTAATTATTACCGTCAAGGTTCTCGCAGTTTACACTGCAGAGGAGCCCCCGTTGGCAATAGAATGATGCGTCCTAAAAGGGAACGAAACCGAGGTCACTCGATGACGTTTGAGCAACGTCGTTTGGTGAAAAGGATCGTCGAATGGAAAACCCTGTGCAACCAACAACACTAGGTACTCGTGTTTGGCCTTCTTTCTCCTCGAGAAACCTCGTTTCGGAGGATCTTTCTTCTCCGTTAATTGCCAACTTTTCTCCACTGGTGACCTCGTGGACCTCGTGAACGTAGTATGTACGTAGGAGTAATGATATTATTTAACGAAGTAGTACTACTCGTGCCGATGAAATTGTTTAAATTAAACGACGTCGAGGACTGTTCGAGGATGACGCTTAATGTTGCTCGATTCGACCCTCTCACCCCATACATACATATATATGTAGGTCGTTACCGGATTATGGAACAGGAATATATTTTGATATTCCACGAGAGAGTGCTTCTGGTGTGAAATTTTGGATACTCAAATTTATGCGTTTACGGTATAACGTTGTTTGGGTTTAATCTGATTTAAAAACTGTTCTTTATTAACCCGTTTATGTTTTATGCTTATGAGAATCAGGAAAATTCTCGGTTCGATGCAGAAATATTATATACATATATAATAATATTATCGATAAAATAATTACGAGTAGATATATTTGGGAGATTCATTAAACGCACGTGTTAAAAAAACGTGTAATGCACTTTCGAAGCGTTTACCAACCACCGGGTGTCTGTCAACTACAAAGATGTAGAAGTTGTAAGAGAAGGGATAACGAATACATACATATAGGTAGACTCGCTTAGAGAAACGAGAAGGGAGAAGAGGAGAAGGTGGAAGAGGATTCGGTGATGGACAGTGGGTGATACGGTTGGAATGGATTTTAAAGCGGAGGGTCTTTAAGGTGCAGTGCCCCGAGGGAAATCTCGGAAGATTGACTCTAGGATAGTGAAGAAGGGAGAAGACCCTTGGAGATACTGTACGCAACACTGAGGAGCGATTGTCGATCAAAGGGTTTTAACGATTTCGTACTTTACATCTTATTCACGAGCGGACACAAGGAGGCTGTAAATAAAAGAGAGAGAGAGAGAGAGAGAGATAAGAACACATTGGTTCGTTGTGTTCTTCGTCGATTTTTATTATTAACGTTACGAGGAAATGTTATTCCGATTAATTCTAGTATTTTCGAATCGGTACATATATGAAAGCGACGCGAAACGGAGAATTACAGCGTTAGAACAGCGATTCAATGAGAATATAATTTGTCGAGGGCCACTCGAGGATTAGTCCTGGACCAGCGGTGCGGTGATTCGACTTACCGAATCAACAAGACAGAACATTCTATGCAAATTTCTATTCCCCTAGCTGAAAGTGACGTAGACGCGGCGTATTTAATTCGATTGCATTTGTCAGGTGAAACGTGCCTTTGACTAATAATTCTGGTTATAGGAGGTTAAGGTAATATCGTTTTAGCAGAACGATTGGTTCTCGATCAACCGGGTAAATGCAGAGATATCGCATACCCTGTTCAAAGGCAATTTCAAAGGAGAATTACGAGTAGCAGCATAGGACAAAAGTGGCAGATTGCACGCGATCAGCTCGCATTTCGTTGCTAGATTGCCGCCACCGTGTCGCGGAGAAAGATCGCTTCTTAGCCTCACGATTCCGCTCGATAGCGACAGAAAAAGCGAAAGAGAAAGCTTTCCGTTGGAAAAACCTCCTGGAACTAGCCAACTAACCAACTAGCTTCTTTGTCGTAAGAATAAAAAAGATATTTTTCGAACGTCACGAGACAATATTGGATATATCTAGATATTAGGTACCTAAGCGAGAAATTGAAATTTAATTAAAGTTGAGCGGAGTGAGCGGTGCTGAAAGGCAAGTCGTACGCGCTTCGACTCGTCGCGATACATTTATGGAAAGGTTCCGACGATATTTGCGGTCGACCATTGCAGCGTAAACCTCAAAGCATTTAGTAGCGCAGCGCGAACGACCGCGAGCGCCGCAAAACGCGTGGCCGCGTCGCGTCGCACCAGCTGCGACCTCGCCGACCGCAACGTTGCTAGCGGAATACCGAGTACGATCGTTCCTGAAACGATATACCAGCGAAAGCACGAACCTACCGAAATAACTGAAACTTTTGCGGCTAAACGAGCATTTCAAACATTCTGTCGCGTTCGCAACTTCTTCGCGTTAGGCTCACCCTTCTTCCTTCCCCTTCCCCTTCCCCTTCCCCTTCCTCTTCCCGATAGAAATTTACAGCAGGATACACCAACTGCATCGTCGTGATCTACGATAGTAGACGATAGATTGAAAACATTAAACAGAGTATCAAGGATAACGAGACTAGCGTATTCTATCAGCAGAAGAGAGAAGAGAAAATCTCTTCTCCAGCATAGATATCTTTTCGGGCTTTACGGTTTTACCTCCGAGAGTCTGGCTTATATTCGGTCCACGATGTAATAACGTTAAAGCTCCCCTTATACTCGCCACGCGGGAATTCAGGCTGTTCAGCCGTTATGAAAGATCGTAAAGCTTTTCCAGCCCGTGAAACGGCAAGAAACAACGAAGGAGCATCGCGTTTCTTCCTCTTTTAATTTCTTCTTCTACTTGTTCCATTTTCTTTTTCCTCTTGCGCCGCGCCGCGCCGCGCCGCGCCGTGTATAGAGAATGTGGAACAAATCTAAACTTGTCTCATCAACTTTTCACCAATCGTGTAAGCTCGTTCCTGCAAGCTCGTTCATTTATTCATTCGTTGCACTAACCAATCGAAGCGACGCGACGACTCTTTCGATCGATCGATTCTATTCTACAATTTGTGTTTTGCTTGTTCAAATAGAATTCAACGACGAAATATTTCTTCTGCATGTAGCTACCAGTACTCACGATCAAAATTTAAACAGTTATTGAAAGGAAGGACTACGTGGAAGAACCGACTGTGATCCGCTGACCGAGTAGAAGAGGGCCGATATTGGTTTCTCGCGCGCGAAGAAATACGACAACAAAAGTAAATTCTCTCGACGAGACGGCAATTTCCCTTTCGGCTACGGCTATGGTTATTGCTCGTCGCCTCCGAGAAGTCGTTCGGTCGTCGACAGCACACAGCGAAAGTGAGACGAGACGAGACGAGACGAGACGAGACGAGACGAGACAAGAGAGATGGTTAAGTGCACTTCCCTATGGCACGTTCGATTCAATTGCAGCTGCGGGCTGCTGACCGACTCAATAGAAACCTCTCACCCTCTTTCCTTTTCTCTTTCTCTCAGTTTTTCTCGCTTTTCTCGCTTTTCTATATCTTCTTCCATCGAAACGGAGCGGATGTCTCGTTCCTTTTCGTCTTCTCGTTGCCCCGTTTTGAGGCTTGCCGCGTAGAAAAGAAAACCTCGACTTGGCTGAAACTCCCAATTGAAAATCTTCTCATTCGTCATTCTTTGCGGCTCTTCCGTTTTCAAGGAGCAGCGCGAAAACTGCAACTCGTTTAAAATCGACGGCCTTGATGATTCTATTATACGTATTACATAATATATACCTAATACTGCAGAATGGAGATGCAGAGAATAGTTTGTTGCAATGCCATTTTCTCTCGGCATAGTTCAATTTTATGAACAAAGTTATTTTATCTATACATTCGTCTGTTAACAAACGTACCGAGTCGTACTAGTCGAGGTGTTCACCTCGAAATATACGATCGAAATTATACGTTCACGGGTGGAGAGAAGATGGATCGACAGGAAGGAAGGAAGGAAGGAGAGAGCACGGTTGGAGGAGATATGTGGCAGGAGGAGGAACGTTAATTAAGCACGAAATTACGACAAACTCGCTCGTGCTACTTTATTTGCCCCGCAATTTAAGCGCATTGT